ACAGCTAATTACGCGTAATGCGCCACCGGGCCGCTTTGTTATTACACGTCGCGAAACTCGTTACACTGAAATTTCGAGCGCGGTTTACTCGCTCGCTCGCGCGAGTTATTACGATCGTGCGTTATACGCGCTATCTCGCGCTTTAATCTCGGCGCCGACATTATCCTCCTCGCATTGTTCCGATGGGAAGTCTTCCTGAGGGAAGTCGAAGTTGAAATGCAAAGAGGGAGGGAGAGGGAATAGAGAAGGACAGAGAGTTAGAAAGAGAGAGGGAGAGAGAAAGCGTGATGAGGAAAGAGAGGGCGAGAGAGAAAGGAGTATTATCCCCCCCCACCCACCTTCCTCGGCCGCACGTGCGCTATTATGTACAACCATCCGCAGACTTCGGGGCCGGGGGTAATGCATATTCCACGTATACGGTGGCTTTCCCCAGTAACTTCCACAATTTAACTCACGGATATTGCGGTACATCACGCAGTAACGAAAGTCCTTTGATAAGTTCCGCGGAGATTACGGGGACTTACGTTTCCGCGTCGGCCGTCGGCCGCAGCTCCTCGACGACGAGTCTTTTACCGGGTCCGCGCGAAGAAGTCGCGAACCGGGTAGAATCGCGATGCGGAAAATCACTTTTCCTTGCGCATCAGCCTGTCCTAATTAACGTGTGCGCGAAGGCCGTCCGGGTCGCCGGCTACGAGACTCTTTCTATATTTACGTGCCTTTTGCGGCGACCAACGGCGCAATTGATTTAATTTATCCTAGTTAAGCGTGCGCATATACATAGACGCAGTATGTATTTAATTAGAAGTTCGATGTCGAAAGGGTTAACCCGACACGGGACGTCCCGTGCCGCAAACGTTTGCCCTGAATCGGCGCGTACGCCCGCCACGATTTACTTCCGATAGCTGCGGTATTACTTCCGATAAGTTCGGTATTATCCTGACGGGATTCGAAGTCGAGGGGAGGACGAAGAGTGAGGGAGGGAGGGAGAACGTAGGAAGATATTACCCGCGTATAACACAGGGCCGATCCGCGCGCGATCTCTCTCACTCCAATACCAACACACACACACTCTCTCTCTCTCTCTCTCTTCCCGAGCCACTCGATGTGCATATCTCAGGAGCTCGCGTGCCGCGGACGTGCAGACGCAGGGAAGCGAGCCGGAAGGGGAGCGGAGAGCAGCGTTCTATCTCTCTCTCTCTCTGCCGCGCTCTCTGACGGGCAACCCGGCAGGGATTTGCATGGGACAATATCTCGACTGATTTATCCCCCGGAGCGACGCGACGGCTGGGAAAAGGGCAGACGTGTATCCCGAGGATTTATTTCTTCGGCACTTTACGCGGCACGCCGCGTCGCGGCGCGATAAAGAGACGGGACGTATCCGAGCGGAACCTACTTTCAAACATCTCCGGCCGCGCGACATTAGGAACGTCCGGTTTAGAGTCGTTCGCATGCAGCTCACGACCCCGAGAATTCGAACGCGTCTCGAGCGGAGCGCATCGGCGCGTCGCGCTATACTACGGCCGCGGCGCGTTTACGGCCTTCGCCCCCCTCCCCGTTTGCTTTATCGGCGCTTGCTTTTCCCGCCGGACCCCCGTGGGATTTACGGCCCGGCGTAAAGTCCGACTCCACTTACTTGGTCCTGCGGACTTTCCCTCCGCCCGGGGGTAGTCTCGTCCCCTCGCGCGTCCGTGTTTCACGTAACACCGACCGTGTCCACGGCTCGTTGGCGACGTCGTTGCCGGCGCGCACCGTTCCGCGGCAATCTCGGTGAGGCGTCGTAAAAATACCCGCCTATCTCTCGCGCTTCGTTCTAAAATGTATCCCCGTTCGTCACGGCGACTTAAGCGACGTTATCAGGAAGGTCATTTCGCCGCAATAAAGGGAGGTTATCCTTCCTCGCCCTGTGCAAAGGCATCACCGTGTACCACTCGGGTGACACGATGTAAGCGCGCCGACGGAGGATCTCTTCGTCGGGCCGCTTCGACCTCTCACGCCCATTTACGGGCTCCCGTGCGTGCGTGCGAGCGTACGTGTGCGACGATTTTGCGAGCGGTATCGGGGTCAACGCGATAACCATCTGGATAGAGAGTGGGTGCGGCGGATCTCAGCCGTCGAATCGGCCGCTCGCGTGGGCTTTCAGGACTCTGTGTAATTTTCGTCCTTGCTCCATTACCCCGCTTCGGGGTGTCCCGGGGAAAATAGCGATGATGATTCCGACAATTTGGGAAGAGCGTCGTCCTCGTCGTTCGCAGGAGACGGCGAGAACGCTGATAAACGCACGGTGGATGCTTTCGACCAATCGCGTATTATTAACGTCATTCCTCGACGAACGAAATCCGATGAGTTAACCCGAAATTTCGACATTAAGCCTGAAAATACAGTCGAGCTTCGTAAGACTATCGAAGGATCTTCAGATATAACGTTATACGAACTATTGTGTCCCTTTGGTGCTACAAATGGGAACTTATTTCCGTCTCCTCCAAGTTGAGACTTGAAGAAGAACGTGTTGTGAGCTTCTGGAATGGCTCCAAGTCCTATGCTATGTGTTTGCGGGGAATATTTGGAATTATTTAAGGCTCGGTTCTCTTTGGCAGCTATATCGGTCGTGTGACATCAGAGGCGAGTAATGATACGCGGTAAATTTCCCGCAGCATATAGCTTCATTTTTTAGTTTCCCCTGAAAAACGTAATAGTTTCGTAATTTTGAAACCTGTAAAATATGCGACAAACTGAAGTGCGACCGTGACAGCTGAGAATGTCTGGAAGGCGTACCGTTGTTTCAGGAATTATCTTGCTATTTTACATGAAATACATCCCGATTTATATTTTACGTATATATTACCGCCGTATATTTTACAGGTTTCAGAAAGAACGAGATAATTATTCATTCGGGACGGACTAAAAAATAAAGCTGTATGTCGCAAGAAGTCTATTGTAAATCATTTCTCGCCTCTGACGTCGTACAATTAATATAGATGTTCCGATGCTCGGAGATAGCCGAGACTTAAATCACTTCGAATATCCCCTACAAATGCATAGCATAGGACTCGAATAATACCGATAAGATTTGTTCATTCTAAAGAGACGATAAAATGCAGTCGAATGCACAGATGGTCTAAAAGTATTAACTGAGGCTTAATTCCGGTTTCGGTGTAAGGCTAAAGGGAGCTCAAAAGACGTCGTTGGCTACGGTAGAACCTGTAGCGCAAGGAGCATTAAAAGACTACGAGTTAGCATTCACGAGACTTAGAGAGCAGATTTTAAATTTCGACTCGGGAATACGCGTGCGGGAACGCAACGAAAATACTTCGCGTTTGCTCGCGCGATTTGATCGACGCCACGCAAGTGCGATCGTCCGTCCGTCAAGTTATTTGCCCACCGGCGTCGCGGACGTCGTTCGGCGAACTTTCGCTTAAATAAAGCCGCGAACCTAATTTTCGACGACTCCTAATACACATGCGGAAGGTGTATACGGGGAGAGCAAAAGGGAGCGCTGAAGTTGGCGAGAGACTTCATCGTCTGTCGTTAGACTGCCGAGTACATACACACGTACAGTCGGCTGACGAGAGAGTTTCATCCCGCCAAGTTCGCCCGGGTTTCCGCACGGTAATTACTTGTAAATCTCTCGCGAATAACATTAGACGTTAGACTAATTTCGTGCATGAGAAAGTGCAAGAACCGATGCTCCCGGCACTGGTGGTATGATTGATTTCATTGAGCCGAATTGCGTTGACGTGAACGTTGTTATCGATTGAAAATAGCCCCGAAGAGGTGATGTGAAATTCGAATTTGATCGAGATTTTCGCGCTCGATATTAATCGAGCTGCTTGCGTGAAACACGAGCCGAAATTTGGATTCTACTTCATTCATTCTGCAAATGCCACGGATTCCCCATTAGCTCTTCGAATCCGACGGGGAATTTGCAGAATTTATGAAAGGCCGAAATTTCGACTTGGCGAGAACGAAATCGGTACACCCGCGGATCATACGTGTTACGGGGAAAATCGATGGCGCGCAGTCGAGCGATTTAATTACATTTCTTGAAATTCCGACGCTTCCTTCCGCTTGTCCGAAAGAAGAGAACATTTCATTTCATTTCGCCGACGCTGCGAACGTCGGGAGGGTATCAAACGTACGTCTGAAGTTTTCCTCAACGTACGTACATATGCACGTAAATATAGGTGCACGCGCACACGCAGATGCATTTCGCGCGATGCATTATTTATTCGGGCGCGATTGGATTGAAATTGTTTCTCTTTAGCATTCCTTCGTGCGGCCCGCGCGGCAACTTTACCAATTCTGAAAACGCTTCCCCGGGAACTTGATTAAAACCGACGCAACAAACTTGTCCGAATAAATTAATTGACTTTATGCTTTCCGCGTTCCTACGGGCGACTGCAAGAAGCTCCGTCAAATTTAATCCGTCAAATATTGCGATCGATTACGTTCCCCCCACGCTCTCTCGCGTCCCAATGACCGGAATACGCGCGCCCGTGTATAAATTACAGCGTATATAATTATAAAATTATATTGACAACATCGCGCAACGCGCAACCGGGGATGGTATATTTACGAGGTTTCCACATTTGTAATTTCAAGCCGCGTGTAATCTCTCGGCAAGGATATAATTTACCGTAAATCCGCGCGTTCGGCCGTCGAATCGCGCAAAAGCTTTCCCGATGCGACGGCACACAGTGAATATCGCGCGGCTCGCTCGTGAGGCGTTCGACTGTCGTGTAACTTTGATATTTACAATGCATTTTTATCCAAACTGACGTATTTACGTTTGTTTGAACTGTTATTTGAAATATCGCGCCGCGGCGCGCCGGGACCGCCCGACGAAGATTCCTCTTTCGCGAAAGACCGGCAATTTTTCCGCGGTATTATTGCGAACCGAAAGATATATCGTGTGCGAAAATATATACGCGTATCGCGAGCGTTTCGTCAATAATACGCGCGCCGTTTACGTTCTAACCGGTTTTCATTCGCGACTCACTCACCATTGAGCACGTGGACGAGAACGCTGGCTGACTCGGCTGTGGATGGCGCGCAGGTGTAATTGCCGGAATCGGCCGGCAGCGCTTTGCTGATCAGAAGACGTGACGTTCGCGTTTGCTTCTCCGTCACGACGCTAATGCCTCCTCGTTGACTGTAGTTTATCACGTTGTCGCCCTTGTACCTGCGAAATCGTCCGGAATAACACGACGAGTCGTCAGCGAGGCGCGCAGAAATCGTTGCTTTCTTTAACTTTGCATTTTTTCCCGCCGAGTCATTAATCCGAACAAGGGAAAAATTGAAGACCGAAAGAAGAAAAGAAAGGATAGAAGAAGCCGTGAACATTGTGACGCGAGTATTTACGGCGCGAGCCGTACAAACGAAAGGATTCTCGGATCGGCGCATTTGCGGCACGGCGGATTTATGGATTCTAAAGACCATAACTTGGATAGGTAACTCCATCGGAGATTCACTTTATCGGAGATTCGCTTTATGGGCGGCCGCGTTGAGAAATTTTTCGATAAAGCCAGATCCCACCGTCGGTGTCGGCAGCCAGTGTAGATTTGGATTTCACGAAACTGCGGGCGCCGTGCTCGCTCCCGCCGAAGTGCACGCGGAACAAATTCAATCGCGCTATCGTCAAGGGAGAACGCCCAAACTCACCAATAGATGAAGGATGGTGGCTCCGGCGTTTGCAGCACGACGCAGGTCAGATTGATGTCGCTCCCGCTTTTGATGTAGAGCTCCGAATTGCCGTTGATCTTTGCCTTCGAGACTGCACACGGGACAGAACAAAGTTAAAGTGGTTTTTGGCCGGGACCGGCCGTCCTCCGCAGCGGGCTCGAGAGCCCGGGGTAAAGCCCCGAGCCAAGAAGTACGCTCGCGATTTTCCTTAAAACCGCCGCAAAGCTGCAATTAACCCGCGCTCTCGGGTCGGGAGGAGCGCTCGGGAAATCGTCCGCTTGGAAATTCGCTCCGGGAAAACAGACGACTTTCGGAAATCACTATTAGAGCGCGCGGAATTTGCGATCACTTTAAAATACAATCCGAGCCGGTTCTTCTCACGGGGCCGGTCCTCGTATTCTATTAACGGCAATCGCGAGCGTGATTTCAATACTCCTCGGCGCTTACCGCGCGAATTCGTTGCCGTTTCCGAGAGGGAAAAAATCGTTTCGCCCGGAGATTAATAGTTCGTCTCATATTTCATCTCGCAAAACGCCCGGAGGGATGCCGAAAGCACTAGCTGTGGGATCTCACCGAAATCGGGGGCGGGATTTACTCGGCGGGCTTTTGATCGAGTCCTGTTAATTGCGCAAAGAGAGCGAGAGAGAGAGAGAGAGAGAGATACGTACCCACTACACTCAGGTTGAACGCCTGACTGATCTTGGGTTCCGTCGAGACTTGACATTCGTAGATCCCGCTGTCCCGCACTTGCGGCGAGCTGATCTTCAGAGTCCACTCGTCGCTGCCGTCGCTGTGCAACGATTGGAAACGCTGGTCGTTCGTATACGTTAGGATGCCGACAGTGAGGATATGCAAATCCCGCTGTCTGATCCACGAGACCTGCGCATCAAGAGAGATATCTGCCGTGTTGCAGCGAGCCGGCTACATACGCTAATCGCCAAATTCCTGACACTGTTTCGCACCGGCGCCTTCCGACGCCTCTCCCGCGAGCTCTCGCATACTTGGGAACGAGGGGGCGTACGAGGGGGGGTGTGGAAAAAATTGCGAGTGCCGAAAAACTCCGAGATCCCTGATCCGCGTAGCGTCGGTGTTTCTTATCGAACGAACTATCTCGATCCTTCGAACGGTGTTCACAGGCGAATATCCGAACGAAGGAAAGACGGTTCGGTCGTTCGACCGTCATGATTTCGGCTTAAATAAGGCGGAGAGCACGTTCGCGAGATTTGTGTTCGCGATTTGCAACTCGATCGCGCCTCATTTTGCAAATATCCGAATAGGCGCGCGTGCGAGCGTTATTGGGGGTTCAACGGCGCGGCTGTGAATGGCGGGGGAGGGGAGCTCGCGGAGGGATAGGCCAGAGAGCAGGATGATGGCTATAGGGTAGAGCAGGGTAGGGTGCGAGAGGGAAATTTGATTTATCGGCGATTACGATCGGTGATTGGACTCTGACGGGTTCCTGTGCGTCATGCGGTGATGCATGAGCAGCGGCCGATAACGCGTAATGTCACCATTCGCCCGGTGACCTATGCGCCTACCCGCGAAATTACTTTACATTAGGACCGCGGGTGATGAATACCGGGTTAAACAGCGGCCCCCCTCCCCCCGTGCGAGTCGCTAATCCAGCAAACTGGCTGAAAAATTGGCGCAGTGAGTGCGTATTTTATGTACCTGCGTGCACGGAGAGCGCGCCCCACCTTTGACCTTTTATAGCGAGGCAAGCCGATACATCACTTTAGCACTTCGTGTGACTGACACGCGAGCGACGGTTACGGGAAACGTTAACCGAATGAGCAGTGACACGGTGTGCGCGTCTGTGTTTCATCGGGGCTTCATTTGATTGAAAAAAGAGCATAACCAGGGAAGAAACCGAAAATGTGGGCGAATTCGGAGAATAAAACTGGATTTTCGCGGTTTCGGCGGTGTAACACAGGCACGCACACAACCACGCCACCGTTTCCCGCGTGAAGGGTTTCTTCTCCCTGCACGCCGCAGGAATTAGATCGTGTAATCGTTTAACAGGTGTCAGTCAAGCGTGAATTTTCCGTCTGTACCTCTCCGACAGATTTCGTTACGAGTAACGTTTCACGGCGCGATGGACGCGGTCAGAGATGTCTTGACGTTAACGAGATCGTATGTTAATGTCCCCCCCTCGCTAAATACGCGTGTGTATGCGCGTCGGACCCGTCGAGAGTTATATATTTTAGCCCGGCGAGTTTGCGAAATAAAGAGGAAGGAGATGGGGATAACGAAAATAAAAAGAAGAAGAAGTTCGGCGAGAGGAGGAGTTGGAAGAGCGACGGCGCGAGGACGCGAAGTAGGTTACCATAAAAGTGCGAGACGATGTCGCGTGAGTAAATGAAGAATGAACTCGCGAGCGGTGCGAACTCTTTTTCTCTCTCTCCCTCTCTCCGAGCGGCAGCGAGTGCATTAGCAAGAGGAGCGACGGAGAGGAAGAGAGAGAACGGACCGAAGTTTGTCGGCGAGCGAGCGATCGTGGCGATTAATGCTCGCAAACGCCGCTCGCGTAACTGCGAATTTATTTGGCGGCTCGATCGGCGGCGCGACTTCGATTGTTCGAGCGGTGCGCCGCGGCGTCGCGCGGCACGCGAGAGAATTTATCGACGACCCCGAGAGCCGGATCGCGATAGTCCGGAAAATACACTTCGCATGGCGCCAAATAAAAAGGAAAATAATTGGGGGATCGCACGCTAATCGAACGGATGCAACGCGCCGATTTAATTTTGCACGGTAAATTTGTTTGCGTTTGTGTCGGCCCGGCTTTTGTCGGCCCGTCGCTCCGCGCCGGGCGCAACCCTCGCAAACGACACAAAATTAAATCGCGAGAACTTGTTGACGCATAATCGAGCGTTAAAGCCCGTCCAACGGGCTTTACATAATTTACGTAATAAGAGGATTAGTCGGTTAATTGATTTTTTTCTTTCTAAAAGCGCCCGCATCGACCGCGCTACGCGAGCTGCCTGGTTATCGAGAAATCTCGAGAGGACATCGTAACGTAGCGTTTCTTTTCTTTCTCGAAACTTTATTACGCTCGCTTTATCGATAATATATTCCGCTCGTCGGTATTCTTTTCAAGTACTTTTGATCGTGTTACGGCAAAATGAGCGGACGACTTTGGATAACTAATGTGAGGTACCAAAAGTAACGAGAACAATCGGTGCATCTGGAGAAAAAAGAATAAAAAATAAAATATACGCCAGACGTACATGTGAGCGTGCATATGAACAAAAATTGTTAGGTCCGAGAAGGAATGTTCTCTGCAAGAAAGAACCAAAAAAGACGCGTCACAGAGATTACCTTGCGAAAAGGTAAATAAATGAAATATCAAATGACACATATGAAAAAATAGATAGATCCAAAACGGGATATTCTCTGGAAGACGTAAAAATAACGTACTACTTCGCCGAGAGAGAACAGTAAACTTCGCGTTCGATAACAGTAAACACGCGGAGACGTGATACGAATGAATGTTTCCCGTTTCAAGATGGGGAACAACCCGCGGGAATCGAAATCGCGAGACTCGCTCGCGATATTTAACAGACTCGCAATGATAATCCACATCCCACGTAGACGCTATGCTCCCGAACGAGGGCGCTGTTATTACAACGACGACGGGGACGACGACGGCGTTTGATAAGGAAACTTGGGACTTACCGCGCGATCGCCAAGATTGCGCACCCTGCAGTGCAGGTAAGCGGATTGCCCGACAGTGGTTGTGGTCTCCCTCTTTGTTGTGTTGTCGAAGTAAGGCTGACTAAAGGGTCCCTGCTCCCAATAAGAGGACGGAGGATGGTGCTCCACCACCGATCTTCCGTTCTTGGCCGCGCATTCTGCCAAAAACAATAAGGCTCGTTAATAGGATTTATTTGTCGTCGTACCTTAATGGAATCACGTCACGCGGTATCAGCGTCCGAGTGAAACTTAAAAGCCGTGAATAAGTGAATTTTCCCGGGTTAGCCGGAGGCAGCGGAAATTTGTAAGCGAGGGTAGGCGACTCATTAATCGACGCATCCGGTATCGCTAAATTACGCGCAGAGGGAAGAAAGGAAGAGGAAAAGGAAAGAGGAGAGGGATTTATTCGAAATCGAAATCGATTCGATGTTTATGTTAACAGAAGATCGCGGAAAATACTCGGGGCGCGTAATTGAAAATAAATAGTCCGACGTATCAATAATTGCTGGAAACTCGCGCTGAATCGCACTGCGCGGCAATAATGCGATAAATTGTGCGTCCGTCATCACGGCGGGAGGTTCGTGAGAAACGGGCTTTTCATCGTGGCTGATGGAGACGCGAAACGTAACGTCGTTAACACTCTCTTCGCATAAAATCTCGATCGCGTGACGCGCCGCCCGCCCCTTCATAAGGGAATCGATTCTTCTCGGGACGGGGGCGAACGTCGCGTTGCTTCCCGTTAGATACCGGCAGAAATTCCGGTGAATTTCAACGGCGACCCCCGAACTTCCCCGGAACGAATACAGAAATTCAAATCCGGTAACGCTGCTCGTGGCGTCGTCGTGGACGAGCGAACTCGTGGCGGAACAACCTTCGGGAGTTCCAGCTCGAAAATTCCTCGTGCATCGCACAAGGGAGCGTCGTCCTCTCGCAACGCGCGAGGTTCTGCGCCGTTCCGATGCTTGGGAATTGCGAGATTTACCGAGGAGAGTGATCAAGGTTCGTTCGTTAGGAGAGTTACCTTAAAAGCGCGCACGTAAGGCGACACGCTCCTTTCCTCGACGGGGATTTTATCGTCGCGCGAGTTTATCGCTCGCTGTATCGCGCGTGAACGACCCCGTCAACGAACGAGCCCTTTCTCTCCGTTCCCCCCTTCCTCCCCTTCCTAGTTTATACGAATCCTTGAAACGCGTTCCGCTCTCGAGTGGGGATATAAATCAATCGAGTATCCCCCGCGTTTTACGCCAACAACGGAGAAATAACAGTAATAATAATCCCGAGAATAAAAGTATAAAATATGAAAATGCGGAGCGCGATAATAACGAAGTAAAAAGACCGTCGGTGTGCGCCAATATCGTCGTCTTATTAAAGACACTTAATAGACCTCGGGGCGCGTTTTACCAGCATCTTTCCGCCGACGTGCCGCAGTTGTTTTTCAAAGTAACGATCCGCCGGTGTGGCGCGAAATTTTTACAACGGTCCCTCATCAATTTTTTTCAGCCCGCATCCTCGTCTCCCTAACCGCTCGTCTGGCTGATTACTTTATTCCGCGATACTCGCCCCGTCTCTCTTAGCGGCCGACGGCGTAAAAACTTCCGAGAAACCCTTTACGTGTACTATACGAGGTCTTAGCGAAGTGAGAAAATTCATGAAGGGGGCACCGTCAAAGAAATCTTTATTCTCATGCTGATGCCCTGTAAACGCGATATTTAGAGACTGCGTGATATAACGGCGGCTTCATTTGTCGGGCCGAGTTTTTATTCTCGTCGCGTTACCGCCGATGTGATTTGGCCGTCAAAGAGCCGCTTGCGAAGGGTTTCATCTTCTCTTTGTGATCTAACCCACTTCCGAAATGAGTCGTTGCGTTACGTAGAATTTTAAATGACACGAAAATTAGATTGCGCTTCGCAAGATCAATGGCGAGTCCTCCATTTCAGGACGGAACATGGCGGTAAGGAAAACGGAGATAGTCATCTATTAATACGATTCTCTTTCTCTCTTTCTTCCCCCCCCCCCTCTCTCTGTTTCCTTCCTCCTCTCGAATACCGTTTCGCGAACAACTGACCGATACCTACTTCAAATTAACAGCCGCGAATTTCTTCGGCCTCAAAGAAATTCCGTTCGCAACTGCCCGACCGCAGAAAGTCGTGCCGTCGATATTTCGCGCTGGCGGAAGCCCGCGCGAACTTTCACAATGCAACACAAAAAGATTCCAATCGCCGACTGTTAATCGGGTTTTTCGCGTTGCAGCCGGCGTGGCGAGTGTGGGAGAGAGAAGGGTAAGGAGGTGGGAGGGGTCGCGGAGAGGGCGGCAAATAGCGCTTAAAAACTGTGGGACGGATGGCAGGGCTAGTGGCTCGGGAAGGATGAGTTTGTTAACCCCGACTCCGCGCTCTTCTTTCTCCCCCGCTGAAAGTTCGAGGCGGAGGAACTCGAGGGAGGGGCCGGAGGGAGAGCGAAAAGCTTCAGGTGTTTGCTAATGGCCCGCGGCGCTGAAACCAATCATTCGTCGATGGCCGGCCGGGTCCTCGCCGCCTCCGTTTGTTCAACCATGACGTACTTTTTGTCGCAGTCTCGTCGGCGCGAGCGGCTCTCGTTTCCACATTAACGCGAAATTCGAAAGAAATCCAACGACGAACGTCGCCGTGGCCCCCGCGATGTTTTTTCATCGCGGCCGGAACACGATTGACCCGGTTCCGTTAATGTACACCGCCATTCGGCGGGGCCTTCGCGCCCGTAAAGAGAGACTCAATTCACAATCTCTCGAGTTCTCGCGTGGAATTAAAATCACGATTTACGCCGAGTGAATCGCGGCGGCGCGGTCGCACGTTGAATAACGATCGTCCGTCTCGCCTGAGAATTAATCGTCCGATCGAAACGGAAGCGTGTTGTGCGCGCGGTATACATGAGGAAAGTAAAAAAATTAGAACAAAATTAGAAATTTAAATAAATAATTCCCACCCGTCTTGCATGTTGGAAGTGTGTGTGTGTGTGTGTGTGTGTTTCGTCCACTCTGTTTATAATTAAATCGCAGAAATCAAGTTTCTCGAGAAGTCTCTCTCGGGCTTTGATATTCGCCAGGATGTAACTTCGCTTCCGCGAGTTGCAGACGACGCGACCGCCGGTAGTTACATCTCGAGCAGCGACCGAGGGATGTAAAAACTCGGGCCGCCCGAAGTCATATCTCGATTACCTCCTCGTAACTAACTAACGTGCACGACGAAAGTAACTCGGCCGAGGGGAAGGATATCCGATGAAGAAGAAAAGTCTACAGAACGTCGAGGGGAAGCGCCGTTGTACGAGGGCTCTCGTGAATCCTCACGACGTCACGCTCGGACGATCGCTTCGCTTCTCAAAGTGGCATTGAGGCATCACGATATCGCAGGGAATCAAGATCGCGCGTTCCGCAGAAAATCGAAACGACAGTCGTTACATTCACAAGGAAACGTTACCGAGACGACGACGACGACAAAACAAGAGACAAGGAATCTAGCGGATGGTAGCGTTTATTCGCGAAACAGATTCGTTTGTTTAGTTCTTCGAGACGAACGCTCACTCGCTCGAATGCGTTTGTTAGCTACGGTGGCAATCTGTTTGAAAGGATTACGACGAAGAACGTGGAGAATGTCGTCGGAGGCGTCCGCTTTTCGTGAAAGTAACGCAACACTTCTCGTTGAAATCCAAGTAGCTTATGTTCCCGGCCTCTCAGCTTGTTCAGTCGCATGGAGAACCCGAACAAGGCGATGTGTCTTCGGATTCAGGACGTGTCGCGAACGTCTTCGGAGAGACACGCACGAAATTTTCGCCCGCGAAATCCGGAAAAAGTCGGGAGAAAAGTTTCTGTTTAAGAATGTCGAGAGGATTCGCACCTAGCCGCGCGCTCTCTCCCCTCCTTTCCTCTTTTTCTCATCCCTATTTGCACCACTTCAGCTTTGCCGCTATCCTGTATTGATTAGATGGGTCATTTTCTGTCCGGGGACAATCTGGAAATACGCGGTCCAAAATATATAATGATCAGCACAATTGTTTTTTTTCCCGTATCGAAACGTGATTATTTCAGGTGAGAAACCGATAAGTATTTAGCGGAGCGGCGGTCTCCGTCGACTGTGTATTAGATAAACTAACATGCTCGTCCGGCGAATGTATAAAAATTGTTTTAAGCCGCGATATTAATCGTGATAAGTTATTTAACACATTTAACATCGCGGTTGCGGCCAACCACCGTCGTTCAAAGATATCGATCGAAACTCATCAGTATTATATACGGGATATCTATCGAATAAATTGGATACCAATTGTCGTCGATGTTATCGGGGAAACACTTTCCGGGAATATAGAGTGAATTTTGGCGCTTTCGCCGAATTTTACAACAATATACACACGGATTTCTCACGAAAACGCGAACGGTGACGTCGCGCGGAGCCGGCGATATTAATAATAAGCACGCCTCAAATATTATCGTTCAATAACACGCCGTTAAACAACACGGTCGGGCGGAAACCTGTAAACGCGTAAAAAGGATTTCAAAATACAATCGAGAAAATACAGACGAGAATCGGTTCTCGTTGGGCAGCGCGTTGTGTTCGCCAATGTTGTCGCAAAATTCGCAAAACAGCTATTTAAGTGCGCTCGCCGTCACGCCGTGTCGATATTATCGCGGGATGTTTTACACTCGCTTGGATCAATTTCCCGCTCGCGGAATTGGAGAACGTGGTGAATTTCAGCCGCGTGAAAGTTCCAAGCATCCCGCGGTTGCGTCCCGAAAATGTCATCAAAGCGCTCGTCGTAAGTATGGCGCGTAACACGAAGCATCTCGCGAAAATCTAAGTGGCTTACGTCTGCTCCGCATCGTCTTGTTCTACTGCGGCGCTGCCGTGCGTGCGAGAGCGGAGCTCCTTCGAGCTCGTCGTCCTCCTCGACCGTAGAGACGCGTCTTCTTTACCCGCTTTCCTTCCCTCCGTTCCGTCGAGCCTTCGCATCGGCAAGTTACACGGCGAAGTTAGACGACCGCAAGCCGCATTCTTTCCTCCTTTCGAATGTATTTAATCATTGCGTCGCGTGTAACTATTCATGAAACGCGACGGAGTGCAAAAGATATCAACGAGGGGGAGAGAGAGAGAGAGAGAGAGAGAGAGCTAGTTCACAGAGGAATACAATA